ATGAGCAACGATAACTGCCAAGATACGCGGTAACGGCATGTTATGATCACCATTCCGGCAATCTTACATGGCCATTGCCCTCATGTCAAGTAGATGAGCCAAACCTCCTGCAACTACCCAGCTCTCTTCAGGCACTAGCTGGGCCGAGGGCCTGACAAACCAGCATGCAAGCAAGCGATGGCATGCGACGTCGACATGAAAACGCGGATGTTGAGACACGAACGTTACTCAGACCAGCTGACAGTGGGACTGATGATCAATATGGCCACCACTGACAGCAAGTGGCCATTACGATTGGCAGTATACGGTGCAATTACGTCAGGTGCTCAGGTTTTGGTCACACTTGACAGGCCTGCCCAACCTGAAGAAGAAACAACAAATTTGATTTCTTGCGCATGCCTGCCGCTGGCGTACATTGGTGTAGATGTGTAATAAGTGCAATCGCGATAAAACAACTTATCACACATCTACATGCCTCGGCGCCCCGAAGCAGCTTGGCCAGGAGCCTCGCAAGGGGCCAGATTGTGCAAGCTGGTTAGTTTAACAGAATGATATTCTGATTATCCATACTGTTTGCATAACTCCTAGCCCATGTTGAGAAGCCACTCCTATATCAAGTCATCTGATGAGACCAATCGCTTGAGCAACATTTTTGCGCCTCAAGTACCACACGTCCTTCTCCAGACACTCGTCGATCCTGACACAGCGACAGTGGCAAAGCTGGAACTTTTTTCCTTGCCAGCGCGAGGCAGCACCTTCTGATCTCCCACAGCGAAATCGTGGGTAATGCGGAGACCTGGCCAGGTAGAGGAATCAAGCTCTAATCCCTTGTACAACTTGCTTGCATCCGATCTTGCGAAGCACACGTCCCCAGCTTCAAATCGGTAACAGGCATTTTGCTGTAGACGGTTCCGATTCAGCCCTGAAACCCCTGGCTGACCCGTTTGGCAGCTCGGAGGATGTTGGCAACCTCTCAAGCGCAGCATCAGCACGGTCCATGAAAGGCAACAAACTCACGAAGCGCTGGACAACCCATGCTAGGCACCAGATGCGTGTATCGCATGTTAGATCAGGCCGGTCGTGTCAGAGTTCACTCAGAATGCACGTCCAGTGCATCAGCAACATGGACGGAATATGCAACAGCTGTGTGAAAAGCGCTTGCAAGTAAGATGTTCACTACCTCCAGATCCTTAGCTGAATTGGCCGAAGCACACGTGGCCGCACCGTGGACCAGCGGTTCCGGAGGTCCTGACAGGAGCGACAGACTCCTTCGCGTGATGCCGCTACAGTACCAGTCAAAGAGTGTTTTCCGGAATTCCGTTAGCTTCGGGTTCGAACAAGACCAAAATTCACACTCACAGGTGGCTTTGCCGTCGACCGCGGCCTCCGCATCAACATGGATGAAAAACCAGGCCTGGGGCAGATGCATATACAAAATTTTGCAAACATGCCCTCCTGACCTCTCAAGTGCTAGACCCAAATCGCACGCGTCCCGGCTTCACCCTGAATTATCTTTAGCATAATGAGAAGGTTACGTGCAGCAGGAGGTCCCGATCTTGCTTTTGAACCTCCTGCTGGCAAGCTTTGTATTTCTGCAGAGCTGGGCTCTTGCACCGTCAGCCTCGCCAGAAGCTGCCCAAGGCTTGAGCATAAGCATCCTCGAAATAGCTGTCCAGATCCGCAAGCTGAAACTTCTCGAACTGGCGGATGTACCTGTTACTCATCTACCTTCATTTCTGCTGGGTTTGTGGGTTGAATTCCTCAGAACCACCTGTGTCGGACGTGGGCATTCAGCCTTTTCGCTTGAACAGCCGCAACACTCCTCGACTGGGAAGCATTTGTTTGGGGCCTGGGGTCTACTTTGATCGCCAGCGTCTTTGCACGGGCATTGGGAGCTTTTCAAACGCCATTTTTTGCATGTGGACAGGACCACGGCAACTCAGCTCACGCGCTTGAAAAGTGATTGGCGTTTACAGCCCTGAAATAGTAAGCAGCTTCAGATGATGTAAACTAAAATGGGCCTCGTTCAGGGCAGTGCCTTTCATGGCCAGTGCCTGCACCGAAAACTGTAAGATACAATGCAACTTTCTTGAAAACAGGACTTTGGATCTGTTGGCTGCTGGGTGCCTTTCCTCAAACGGAGGCCTGCTTGTTGCATCTCTGACTTGGGATGGAAGTCTCGCCTAGGTACTGCCAGATTATCGCATCCCGCTCACCCCTTGAAAGATCATGGAAAGCCAATTCCAGGCATCAGCCTGGCCTTTGTGCTTCTGTCAGGATCTTTGTTCTTACCCCTCATGGTTCCTTGTGGGTTGGAGTTTCCGGCAGCAGCCAACCAAATCAGGCGTAAGGGTAGCTAGGTCGCATGTGGCCAAGCTGACATGGAAAGCAAAGAAGCCCTTCGGTATCCCTCACTTTACGCTCACAAAGATTGACTCATACCCCACACCCTGCCCACGCCTCTTTAAAACAGGGCTTTGAATTGTTCAATGCCCAAAGATGTGAGACACAAGTGCGGCTGGTTGGTGTACCTAGAGAGATTTGGATACCTGCGAGCTACTTTGGAGCTTTGGGTCCATGACTGCACTCTACACGTGCCACCACCGCCACTGCAAGCCAAAGCTTCCGAAGAAACGAGGCTGCTCAATAGTCCCCTGGCATTCGCCATGAGATATCGACGGCAGAGGGTCTCCCAGGGCTCAGACAGCCAACAGCCCATGGACCATAGCAACAACAGGATGCAACAGGTACGCTGCCCCGTCTCCAAGCACAGCACCCTACAGCGCAGAGACGAGATCTGGATCGTTGATTCCACCAGAGCGGCGCATCGCCTTAAAATCTTGAGCTGCGATAGTGCTGGGATGTGCTGGGGTAAAGCACTGGGTCGATGGTGCCCGCAGATCTAAAGATCTAAAGATCTCTGATGTTTATGCGCGCGGTCCGCGATCAATACACTAGAAGTTGCTGCTACGGTAGCACCTGAGCTCGCGCCAAAATTCTTACTCCCAGAAGCGGCCGCATCTTAGTTGGGATTCCCCTATCGGTAAGCAAGGTTTGCGTGAAATTATCAACCATGGCCGACCGAAGACTAGTTAATTCATGGAGATTAACGCTTGTGGCTCACTCTGTTTCTGTCACATGATCGGAATCCAAAACCTGATTAAAACCAAGATCCTGAATTCAATAGGTCTGCATTGCTTGACAGCAAAATTCCTCCGGTAGCTGTACGTTTAGGCGATTTGCTTTAGATCAGGCAAGCTCTGCGCTTGACGGCCCGGCAATGGCAAGAACAAGGAGGATAGCTCAGAATTCATGGAAACCTGCATGTAGCATCTTTACACCGGAATTGACCTTGAAATCAAAATTCAGGAGGTCGTGCGTGCAGTGTTTTGGCATTGCGTGCCAGAGCTTGGTGTAAGGAACAAACTAGCCTTGCGGTTTGTGCTCAAAGGTTTTAAAGTAAGGCATGGTTCCCTTCATTTCGAAGCTTCAGCTGCTGTAGATCCTGCATTCTGACGTACAGAATCTCCTGCACCAACCCCGTGTTGGAATGAGGAAAATTTCTTTGATTCAGGATGTTCAGGTTCACGTTGAGCTTGTTTGAAGTCAATTCGCGCCAGGGGGCCTCGAAGTCCTCCCGGAAGCTGTTGCGGCCGCCAGATTCGCCCGTAGACCTCAAAACATCCACGATTGGGGATGACATGTCAAGGCATGTGTTGCAGTACCATCCTGCTCCAGCTCAGACTGAGATGTGCCATCACCCATGCTGACTGAGTTTCCTATGTCCAACCTGCCTTGTGGCCGAGACCGACAATGGGATTCGGGTGTGCAGGCTCGGCGACCTTTGCTGACTTTGCTGTGCACAGCGCGGCTTCACCTGGAAGCTGTCCCCTCTGAGTCGTCTATGAGCCTGTGGCCTTCTGACAGTCAAGCTGCTTTTCCGTGCGGCCGGAATGATGCACGTCGTTCGCCTGGAGGATGGCCACATACCTTGGACTCAGGGTTCTTCACGACCCTGACGGGCCAGGAGCAAGGTCATTTGGAAGATACACATCCGCCGAGGCCGGAGGCCCGGGGCGTTTAGATCCAGGTTCAGGGACTCGGAAAGTAATTCAACCCACCCCCTACCCTGTGGGCTCTGTTTCTTTGTGTTTCTAGGGGAGGCAGGGAGGGTCCGCGTGGTCGGCAGGGTTCCGCACGGGCTGTCGTGGAGCCGAAATGCAGGTTCGGGGCCAAAAACACGGATTTGGGGTAGGGCGGGGGAGTAAGGGGGTGAAGAAGCAGGGCCCAGCCTGACCTCTCCTTTCAAAGCCCCACTTGCCCCGTCCGAGCCAAACATCTGCGACCTCTGCTGCCCCTTCCTCTGCTCTCTCGCCTCAGCAGCCTTTGCCGAGGCGGTCTCGCGCTAGCGGTTAGATTACCATTTACCACCAATACTCAGTTTTAGCAGATGTGGGCAGCAATCGGCCCGCGCTCTCCTGCAGGCGTCAATGAAATTCTAGGTTTGACTGAGGTTTCACACCCTGGCCCAGCTTGGAATCTACTGTACTGCTACTGAGGTAAGAATGACTACTGCTCTTACAGCGACTCAGACTACCATCCCCGGCAGCCACAGGGAAGAAGTCTTGGCCTCCGGTAGAGCTGAATCTGATGCAACTGCAAATGCTACACTGAAAATGCTGAAACATTCTAGGATGCACAGTAAGCCGGCACAGCCTGATTCCACACAACAGTGATTTGCCTTGCACCTCAACGTTGTGTCGAAGAGCGATGCCGCACGGGTCGACATGCGCTCGAGCTCTTCCTTTCCTGGCTTGGCATGCGCAGCTTCCTACTTTAATGCAACGTGGCTTGCCTGAACACCCCAGTTGGCCTCCTTTCAGGTTTTGGAAACATGCGAACTACTAACGTTTAGCGGCCATCAATGTACAAAGACTGTCTATCGGCGACCATGCTTGCAGAGGAGCTGACTAGACATGCAACCATGTTGTCTTCAAAAATCATCCAGCTAAGGTTCCAATCTGGACGTCCGTGACGTGCTCCGTGAGCTTGTCTGCCTCATCCCTGCTCTCGATCTCGCTGATCAAAAGGATACCTGGCATGACTCCATTATGCTGCTTAGGTCTATGGCCTCGTGCACTCCAAATTGCGGCCCTGGGGGTCTGGTGTTCTATCTAGCGGAAAGGTCTCTCAGCTGTTGCCACAGCAGCCTACAGGAATCTTCGATGCCCAGGAACACCTAAGCAGGCCTCGCTCCTCTATACTATTTATGTATACAGCATCCGTCCACCGAGCGGCCAAAGATCTGCAGATGAACCCACAAGGGGCCACCAAATTTGCGAGCCAAGACGGCAAACCTGCAGAAGGAATACGAGTAGCAACCAACATGAGTTTCCTGTACAATCTGAAGCTTTTCTCACTTGAGCCTGACATGAAGCCCATGATTGCTAAAAGTTGTTCATAAAATGTCTGAGGCAGGAGGCTCATCCGCATTGATCTTGCCGTAGTAGCATGTCCCAGTGCTGGCTGTCAACCGCCCACGGTGGTGCCAGTCAGCCCAAAGACAGGGAAGGCACAAAACATCCTCGTTCTGCACCTCCTGGTTTCTTGTGAGGACCCCCGCCTGGTTCCGTGCGTAGTAATGCATCAGCCCGGTCTCGATGACCAGCACATGCTTACAGTCCGTGCCTGGCATGAATACGTCCTGCAGTTGGGTGCAGACGTCCTCCACAATGCAGGTGTGGCACATACTTGAATAAAAGTAATGATGATCTGGTTCCGGATCAGGCCAGAAGCCCAGAGCCATCACCAGCGGCATGTGCATCTCCTCGTGCAGCTGCATCTTCAGTCGCTCCGGCATCTTCGAAAGGACCGACACTTCACCTAAGCTGACGTGCTTGCCTGCACACACCAGCAAGGGAGCAACCTCAGAATCTTTCAGTAACGCAAAAAACCTAAGTTGTGGAAAGTCGCTCTCCTTCACACGCACTGAGGCAAGACCCTCCAGTCGCAGAGCCTCTTGGACTTTGCCGTAAAGGCCCACTGAAAGATTCCTGACATCATCCCAGGGCTGGCAGGGCTGGTGGCACGGCACACTGGGGGAGGTGCCTCCTACTGAAGGGTAACTGCTGAGGTGGGATTGGAGATCAAAAGGGCGATGCGTTGTTTCCCCGCCCTACTGTACTTCAAGGCCATGGTCCTCTGGTTGAAGAAGCGGAACAACGTCATCTGAACTTTGCTGCTGTCGTCACGAGCTTTGCGAAGAGAACTCATCGTGGCAGTGATGGACGTAATGAAAGACCTCGCGTGGATGTTAAGGTCACAGATCATCACCGCCTTCTAACGACCGCAAGGCGTCGCACACCCAAGTCACAAGACATGCCGGCAAGACGAAAACACTCCGATCGCCATGAGAATGACAAGGAGGGCGAACACGCGCTCAATCTGGTCATCCATGCATAGCACTGCATTGCTGCACCAGTGGCCATAGAACTTCTTGCATATGTTCAAGACCATGCCCTACGCTGTAGTTTCCCCAGAAGCACGTGCCCAAACCAACATATCAAGTTCTATATTCCGAGGTTGACAATAACATGGAGGCCAAATCGGCAACTCTGGCTGCCCAGCCGACTTACTTGACTTGTGTGCGGCGCACTGCGTACTGTACACTTCCCGAAGTCAACCAAACCACCTCGTGAGGAACCGATGCAGGCAGAGAGCGCATGATCGACGATTGGCAGCACAATCATTTTGCCCATCAGAGGGGAAATGTCTAAATGCCGATCAGTGCAGGTGAGAAGCAGCGTTGTTCGGGGCGATGTCCTGCGTGGCCGGCGTAAACTGAGTCAGCGCCTGGCATGCGCGAGTGCAGCTTCCAGACGCCCCAGCACTTTCAGCCCTGAGCTGCCAAGGACCGTACTACTCACGTGCACAGCAACTGTCTCCCTCCAGGAAACCCTGCAATCAACTTCAGTTTTGCGACCACGGCGAGCACATGGCTTTTGCCCAAGAAGCAAGTTTGCAATCGAGAAGCCCAATGCATCGACGCAGCGTAGGCCTCATGACACCAGCGTAGCCATCCAACAGTTTACAGTAGAGTTTCCCCTGAAGAGTCACGCCTCTCCGAAACCTGCATTCTCCATCTGAGCTTGGACAATCCAGTTCCTGCCGTTGATGTCCACGGTGCCAATGCCTGGGCATGGCCGTCATTGATCCTCCTTCACTTCTTGCAAGTTTTTCTCCCAGCTCTAGCAGGGGCTCTGCTGCAAGCACAAATAAAACCGGCCCAGTTGCCGTACCAACAGCACGCGATAATGTGATTGATCATCAACATCATAACCAATCCCACGCAAATCTTCACCACCATAAAGGCGTGAGTGGAGAGAAAACCTGACGTCACAACTGGCTGCTTGCTCGTCCATCTGGCAGGCAGCATGCAAGCAAACTCTGGTAAGCTTTCTCCATGAAAGATCTCATCCAAGCGCATTCCCTATACTGATTTTGAGAAATCCGAAAAAGCCTCGCAGGCCGAAGCACCCATGCTTTTTGTACAAAATCGACTCTGAACCGATTGTACAAGCTTGGGGGCTGTTGGCCAGGAGCATGAGCTCCTGCTGCAGCTTCGCAACTCGCACGAGGCCTGCAGAAACGCCCGATCTGAGGGACACAACCACTATCGCAGATATCCCGGCTTCCGGATTCGGGAACATTCCGCCTGCAACTTCAAAGCTCTAATTGTGCAAGCGTTTGCCAAGATCACACTACGAGTAGGTCGGCGTTTGCCATGTCTACCCAACCTCTATCAGGATACACATGCAACAAGTTTGTGCTGTTGCAACCGGGGATGAAAAGCCACGCCCCGCTCTTCGGCCCAAGAGCGCAACAATCGCAGCAGGCGCAGCGTCCGAAGGAACCGCGCCGATCGGAAGATGGTCGAATTCCTGATTTCAGCGGTGCAAGCACTTTAATACATGTGTAAATCAACAGATTGCGTCTTACACTGCACAAAAACATACCTTTTCGTACTCCAAAAATGCTGAATTCCCAAACTCTGAGCTTTATGTTCATATTAGCTTGGATTCCGGTGCCCATCTCAGTGTTGAAGCTGAAGGACAAGAAGAATCCCCGCATGTTGCAAACAGCACAAGTCCTGCAACACGCAGCTACAGCACCTCGGCTCTCAATCGTCCTGCCTCACCCAAAACACGAGAAAAATGCTGGCCTGCCAGCCCTGACACCAGCCCTACATGTGGGCACCTCCGATGTGAACCCTTCAGGCCAGGGTTCACCCCCATGTCGCGCAACGTCTCAACCAGGATCAAGGCAGCATCTAGCGTCACAATCATGACATCCACGCCAAACCAGGAACCTGAATCAGAGGGCCTCCAAAACATCTACTGCCTTTAGAGTCAAGACCAGCAAACACAATTCTGGCAGGACGTCAGCCCACATGAATGGCGAAAGTTGCGCTCGGGCTCCGCATGAAATTGCATAATGACATCCACATCTGCTAAGACTAGAAACTCACCGTAACTGTTGCACCTTAACCGAGGTTGAAGCTTCAAGCGCTAAGTATGCATCCACGCCCAGGCAAGCCCTCGGCCCTTGAAGAAGCCGCGAAGCGCAAGTAGTGCTTTGCCAGGTAAGAAGGGCGTAATTCCAGCTTCCCTGCGCAGGTCACAAATTCGTGTGGCAAAACTTGCTGCACTCGTACGTATCCAAAAACGGGTCCGTGTTGGGCAACTGGGCAAACACTTGAGAAGTTCAGAGGCACGTTCGCCCCGTCTTGCTTTCTGTTGGGCTGTTCCGTCGCTCCAAAAAGAAATCTTGACCACAATGGCAAAGATGTCGGCGATGACGCATGCAATCATGACAATGATGATGATGATGATGATGATGATGATGATGCACATTACCATTGTTGACCATGACGACGGGAGTCACGATCATCACCATCATCACCACCACCACCAGCATCATCATCATCATCATAATCATCACCATCATCATCATCATCGTCGTCGTCATTGTCATTGTCATCATCATAGCGCTCGTCTTCTCAAAACAATAGGCACACTGATGCTTACAATCTGCTGGAGGACTTAGCATGACCTCCGACGTGTACAGAGAGGACTGCAACATGTTGGTCTTGCTTGGCAGCAAAGCAATCAAAGCAGTCACACCATCGGCGACGGCGGCGGTGGAGGCGCCGGAAGCGGGGGTCAGGTGGTGGCAAGGAGGCAGCAGCAGCAGCAGCAGCAGGCACGTAAGTCACAGCGGTGTTGAAGTGCCGCATTTACAGTGGGTCATCGCTGTCATGATCACGACCAAGGCTCAACACAATGTCACCTTTAATTACCCCAATTCCTCGACAACAACATCATGTGTGCTCATAGCTACCTTGTTTTTCGATGCCAAAGAAGAAGTGCGCAGGGATGTCCAGCAACCAGTACCTTAAGGCTAGTTACAGGCGTGCAGCAGTGCGGAAGCTTCTCCTTTTGGGATGAAAGTGCCAAGCACAGCTCAGCTCTGAAACGACACGACTCTCCTTTCAAGCTTCGCCGAGGCGCACGGAGGAAACTCTGGCCACCGCGGACATAAATTGGATGAAGTCCTCCACTTGGAAGAGCCCCAGTGGTATGGTAATCCTTGGAAGATCTCGCATCTGTTTGTGCGACATCATTGGCACTTTGTTGGCACTAAGAGCTGTTGCATTGATTCTTTGAGTACTTTGGGCTTCAATGAAGTAAAAAGCAGGGCTCAGGTCCCAGACGATCCAGAGGGTGCCCAACACAGACCATATCATCTGCTGTTTGCTGCGCGGACCCACAACGAAACGCTGGAAGATGCTGTCCTCCTGGGCAAGGATGCCGCTATTCGCTGGTCCGTACACTTCTATCTGCTCGCTCTGCAGATTGATACTTAAGGCAAGACGACTACCGAGACCGTTTTGCAAACCGGACATCCAGCCCGTGAGATCCCGTGAGCCTCCTGCACCTTATCCTGCATCCGCAGAGTCACGCCACTGCCAGTGAGCGTTGTCCGGTAGGTGCCTAGAATTTGGTTCTGGGCTCAGGATGACCCAAGCAGGCTTGCTATTTCCTGCTACACTTGGCATCTCAGCTATCTTCAGGTGCCAGAACATCCGATGTCACGCAACCCTCACACTCATTTTTAGCCCGGCAACGGAACTGGCGCATATGATGAACACCCGATGCCCAGGCAGCTTTCATTTGCAGCGGGGCAGGCGCGTAAGCAATCCTCGGGCCACTTCAGGTGATGCCATGGCTGGGGAACAACAGATGTATTCGGAAACATGATAAGCTCACACGAACAAAACAGCCACATGAAGAACAGTCTCCCCGACTCGACTGCGGATTGAACACGTGCGAAAGAACATGATGGCTCATGTGTAAAGTCTTGCTGTCAGGCGATAGTTTGTTGGCCATGGCTCGCAGTGGCAGGGGTCACGACGGACTCCTCACGACCAAACTCCTGTTTGCTGGGGAATGATCGGCAGTCGCCGTGGACATCCAGTTCAATCACGTGCGCACCGTCAGGCCGCATGGTAGAGTGAACTGAGATATGCAGTATGCGCACGAAACAGAATCAAATGAATTAAAATAAGACATGACAAAGCAAAAGCTGGATGCTTCTGCAGTCCTCGAAGTCCAGAAGGGAAGCGACGAGGAGGCCCCACCTTCAGGGAAAACATTTGTCACCTGACCCCAGCCTAGACCAGCTGGGCACTCAAGTCGCTCAGGCTTTACTCGTCCTCTTGCCCTGAGAACTCCGCCTCTCCGCTGCAGCAGACAAGTGTTCCCTTTCCCTTGCCGGCTGCATTTCCTCAGTTGTTTGAGTGCATGAGTGAAAGGAATCTGTTAGCACAAGTCCTGCTTTGCTACCATTTTCTGCGTGGACCCAATGCCACATCACACTGACCAAATCAAGCTGCAGCGACATCAGTAACAGTTTAACAAGTACTACCTGCGGTGTTTGTGTCAGAGCCAGGCTGCAACCAGCAGGGGAGACAAAGCCGAGTCCTTCTTGGGCAAACTAAGCGCCAATTAATCAAAATTGCATAACTCTTTAAGAAGTCCAGCAATCCAAATGATGTGCAGTTGATTTCAGTTGTAGACCCTTCTTCTGAGACGTCTGAGACACGACATGCTCGGTGCGACGTGGGAAGGCACTTTGCACGTTGAATACACTAAGTTCTGACCGCCTCTGAGTGCAGTGCCTGGAGCTTTAAAGCACCCGGAGCCGGCCTTGTCTGTCCCACTGAGGACTGGGTCATCTTCTGCATCAATCCCCTGTCAGTTATGGTTTTGCAAGATTTAGTTTCAGGCATTAATACCCGCTGAGTCCCTGGTTGCGCTTTGGTAATTACTATATGGAACTCAAAGTCAGGAGCACGAAGCATGCCTTGGTGCTGCTTTCGCCCTAAGAACCTAAACATGGGCGAAGACTACTACAAGTGCTTCTGCCTGTCGGAGAAGGCCCAGCGCAGTGCGAAGCTTGAGATTCTGCTGGCGAAGGTGCTCTGTTTCCTCTGCTGCGGAACAGACTTGGGAAAAGCACGTTCACAAAATCACCGTTCATCAAAAAGACGGGTCTTTGGAACCCTGCCATCAGTTTTGATCCGGACCCTCCTGCGGGCTTGATCCATAAGGTCTGGAATTCTTGTTTCTATGGATCATGGAGCTCAAAGATTGATGTGTTTGGTCCAGAACAAAAATGGAACGTGGTATGGAACTAAATTCATATTTCGCAGGGCAATCAAATGGCATCGAACGGAGGAGCTTGGATTGGGGACCGACACACATGATCTATGGCATCGGATCAGGGGCCTGCAGTGGAGGGGACAAAGCATTCACAGAATCTGCAAGGCTTTGAGAGTTCAAGACACATCCACCGTCATCTTTGAAAATGATATAAGGTAAGTCGTCTGAGTAAACAGCTTTCGAACAAGCCTTCAACCAGAAGGCTCGTGAAGGGGTCGGGTTGGGTCAGGCCAGCTCGGCACATGCTAAAACCTGCCTTAGCATCTGGCATGACATGACGCACGCGTGGGATTGCCCAGAGCGAATCTTAGTTTCGTGCGCTTACGCAGCCATTCTGAAGTCGGATTAAGGCCAGAATTTGAGCATCTTATCCTGCGCATTGTACCATGATGTAGCATGAAGACGACCTGACTCAAAAACTACTGCAACTTCTGTCCCTCTATAGACTTGCTTTCAAGCCAGCTTCCGTCCGGTGCTGCTGCAGCAAGTTGGTGCGGAGTCTGTCCAGCTGAGAATTCAGAAGCACCTTGGGTGATACATGGTGATACTGAATTCCAGCTTGCCTCACAAGAGGTTTCATCTCACGTTCCATGCAGGCAAGAGAACTTCGTAGGCTGACAGCTCCTCCGCCAGCTCCGGCTCGCAGCTGCAGAGAGCGGCCATGGCCAGGCAGGACTCCAAACGCGACTAGATCTTTCCCAACACATCCGTTCAGATTCCACTGGCTTCAGCTTCTTGCTCCTTAACCTCCAGCAGCAGCACTCCGTACCAGAACAGACCTCCACAGAAACTCTCAGTAAGCTTGTCAAAATCTTGATCCTGTTGCATGACAGCCTATGCTATTGAAGACCAAGGCTTTCCGTTGCTGGCCTGGGCCACCGACCGTTAAATGACGGGACGCTTGAGCTTGGGGCCAGCCCCTATGCAGTATGTTTGATCTGAGCCTCCCTCATCGTTTGCCTGATATTTGACTTGATCGGTTGCTTGTTTTTTGACTTGGGCGCATTTCGACGAAATCATATGATCCCGTTTGTCCTGTTGCAACATGCATCTAGCCATCATCTTCCAGGAATGACCTTTCTCGTTAAATCCAAAGCCACAGTCCATTTCTTATAGAAATCCCAGTCCTGAACCGAAAAGTATTGACTGGGCTCGGGCTGCTTTTTGGTTCTCTACTGCAAAGTAAGCAACTGCCCATGTGAGGTCTGTTACTGAACTTGGCGCTCCCAAGAAGAGGTGGCAATTGCGACTCTGCAGGTGGCAAACGTTGAAAACCCGACACTGTATGGCACCTGGTGAACTGATCCCTCCATGGAGCCATAGCAATGGCACAGCACCAACCTGGCCTTGCACCTTTAGGTACTTTGAGACAGTCTGCGACGGCATGAGAGACAGGGGCACTCCGAGACCAGCCGATTAACGCCAAAGGTCAGGAGCAGGCCGATGCCTCCTGAACCTCAGCACAGCATACAGTCTTTTCAGTCTAGCTAAAAGTCAGGCAGCCAAGAGCATCACCGACTCCATCCCAACAGTTTAACTTGCGTGCAGTCGAGCATGCTCCTTGCCTCCTTGCCCATCCTAGAATCTGAGCTTGCAGCTGACGCCAAACCACCGGCTACCTCCAACTTTGCAGTATCCATCATAACCGTGTCCTAAAGCTTTGAAGCTTGGGAAGGCTCGATTGACATGCGGTTTCCTGTAATTCTGATCTGTTTGGCTCCATGTAAAAAGCAGGAGCAGAGCCACATCCATTTCAGAAGGTTCAGCGCTTGCCTGAACAGGTGCTCCGATAAACCCTTCGCCATAAACCTTTGCAGCGAGGCTCAACGTAAGAATCGGAGGAGGCTTTGCAGCCTCATCACAGATGCTTTTTCACCGGCTTCCAACTGTAGCCTGAGGCAAAACTCTGGACCGCTCCAGTCTGTTCCTTCTCAGGGCATTAGTCACCTCCTCTCTGTGTCGCTGTGGTCACAAACTGGGCCCAAGGGCCCAAGGGCCCAATAATGCCTTATACCCAGCGACTTGACTGCCTGTAACTCAGATGCTTTCCATGGCTAATCCATGCCAATCCCGGAGAAGCACCACGCCTCCCCATCTCTCGTGGAGCAGCTTGAAACCCACCAGGGCTGGGATGCCTGAGCTCATATGCTTGTAGCCTGAGACCCCAGGACTCGTTGACTGAGGGCACGGCCCACCAAAGAGGCCGCCCAGAGGTTTGCCTCTTTCTTCTGCCTCAGCACGGCTCTGCTCGTCTCTGCTTGTGACTGTTGGCTGGCTGCTTTTGCCCCGCCTCCGCACACGCTGGCTGACCGCACTGGTGACGGTACACACCATCTCCAGTTGACGCAGGGTGTCCTGCAGCACCAGTTTATGCATTCGGGGAGCCACCATGGCTAAGCTTGAGCTTGGGATCAACGCGTTTAATTTGTCAATGCTGCAGCACAGCTTCCCTGGACAAGTTTGTCTGATAGTGTGTCTGATACGTAAACTGCGAACCTGCAGCAATTCAACAGTTCATCCGCTGGAGGTTACTTTCAGGGCTGAATTCAAGGCTTCTACTTATGATGGCAGTTGTGAAGCCAGCCAGAGTTTCGTAGCCCAGGCTCAAGGCCGTCCTCCGTGGCTGTGATGACCTGAAGACAGGGGCCAGTCACACTCCTACAACTGCTACACGGTCATTGGCAAGTGGATTCAAAGCTTATGCTGGCTCAACACTGTTTTACTCAACCACAGTCTCATCCGAACTCTTTCTCTGGCCAAGCAACATTGTCCCAGTGTCGCGTTCGCGCACGCAGGACCTCCTGCACCACCTCCTCACGCTTTTGCCGGAAGGCCTCACAAGAACAGCTTTAGAGCACAAAGTCTGCTCCATCCACACATAGACTGTGTCGACGATGCAGACAGCAAATCTTGCTTCCACTTGCCATCCGGCAGCACAGCCTCCAGCGGGAGCTTGTGCTCACGCATGCCATTCCTCAGGTGAAAGCAAGCACATCCACAGTACCCACTCTGATCTCTGTGTCAAACTGCGTGCATCTGTCGTAAGACTTCACGGTAGGTAGCTCTAAGCACCTCTCAGCCTGTCACTCTGCATGCTCCACACCAGAATTATACATGGTGTAGATCTGAGGAATGTCCTGGCAAGAAAGATCCCATTGACTTCACGCTGCGAGTGCGAAGCGGACTACAAGCAACATAGAAGGAAGGTGTTGATTTGCAAGAGGCAGAAGCTTATTCCATGTTTGCAGTGCTCTCATTTCACTTGATCTCAAAGGCGGCACTGGACAAACCAATCCCGGTCCAGGAGCTAAGGATTGATGACTGGGCCTGATGCTTTGGAAACCCTTGCAGGCATTGCATTCCACGCCCTTGCTTCTCCAAACCCGGTCCGAAGTCCTTCCGTGGGATGACCTGTCCACGTCAGGAGGAAAGCAGTGAACACACGGAACTAGGGGAAGCCTCTATATCAGAACCTTGATAGCTTTCAAATGCTTTCAAAATGTCCAGTCTTGCCCGTGTTTTTGCAACAGGGCCTATGCAAAAATTGCTTCTGGACTCTGTGCCTGTGCTCCAACACTGTCCAACTTGGGACGGTTGTTCTTGGACCCTGTGACTGGTTGCGGCAACATTCAATACCAAGCATGACAGCCCGTTGACTTCGATTGATTCGATTCTTGCCTTGGACAAGGCCCACCCGAGCGTTCCGTAGGCACGCGCGAAGTCAACGCTGCTGTCAAGCTGGTCGACCTGTCATTGCTCAAGACCCTGAGGGTCCTGCAACCACAAGGAGCTGTATTTGAAGGATCGAGTTTCAAAGCTGCTCCGCCTGCTGGTTGACAATCGATCATAAAGGGATGGACTACCATGCCAGTTGAGGATGTGTTATGCATGTTTGGCTGCTCTTCGGCATCCGGTCGTTTGCAAAGAACACATGGCTAAGCTTCTATCCAAGACTTTGATTTGCCAGCTTCACTTCAACTTCGCCATTTTGAAATCGAACCTAATGCCTTCTTGATTTTTGCACGCCATTCCATGATATTCCATGGGTGGCTCGCCTTGTTGAGGATAATTACAAACTTGTGGTCCAGCCCGGCCTGATGCACGAATCTCAACTGGAGCGATAAGAGTGGAGAAGCTTGTTCGAGGTGTTGGTTTGAGGCAGGGAGGACTTCTGGACGCACCTGCCTACATGTGCGCGGCACGGGTAAATTGACAACTGCTAAGTCTCCAGCCATGGACCGTGTCAGAACATCCAAAGACTCCCCGGTTGTGCCGGGCCTGGCGAAGAGCGAATGGCACACGACTGCCAAGTGATAAAGGCTCTAAAAGTGGGCTCATACCTTGAACCCTGTCATGAACAACTTGAAATCTTAGACAAACATGCAACTGAATAACATGCCGAATAGCCAAAGCATTTCTGGATCCCAATACCAGAAAGCTCCCCGCAGACGCGGGCCAAAGGCACCTGTCTGGATCAAAGAGGAGGAGGATGAGATCCGCGCCTTGGCGCAGTGTTGTCTGCAGACAGAGTAATTTCACTCGGTTGTGTTCCAGTCAGAGGAATAAACTCCAGACCGGTTGCCGAGAGCTTACATGGTATGAATTGGGACCATGTTTTGAACAGGAAGCGCTGAACGATATTTTCCACGGCTCTACTACACAAGTTGAAAACAATTAGGCCCCGCGCGTTTGGCGAACCAGCGGACAACTTCCAGGAAGTTGTAGCCTGTGCTGCGGCTAACAAACTGAAGTTCAAACACGCTACAAAGAAAAATTATTCTCAATTCGCGCAAGCATGGCACAGCTGCTGCACCTCGACCACCCGCCATGGACTCGGACTTTACGGGCATGTCGATCCTCGGAAAGCATGCCGGAAGAATGTGAACCGCTCTGGAGTTTTTGCCCTGAGGTCCAAGCATGCCAGGAGTGTCCACAATTTGTAGCCCATACGGCATCATGCTGTCCTCGCAGATTAGCGGCTCTGATGTCTAAGCGTGAGTCGCGAGTCAATCACTGCAACATACCTTACCTTCTCACCACAGCATGAGGCTTTCCCCTGAGTTGATTCTGCAAGTCATTTTTTCGCGGGGCGTTGTTAGTTACAGCTTTTCACCTAGGTAATGCTGACCAAAAGCTGTGACGGAGATGTTCGTAGGGAAAGGACTACCCTTTGCGGATGGCCTGCGGCAGCTTGAGCTTCTTCCTTCGGAAGTGGCCCCAGAACGGCTGACCAAAGCGTTGCAACTCCTGGACTTCACAGCAGGATGTCCCAAAATCATGATGCTTTCACGAGTGCGAATGAACTGGCATGGGCTCCAATTTGTTCATATGCTGGGTCCGTGGTCTTTATGGTCTTTTTAATATGGGTCTCAGCTGTTGCGGCGAACCTGCATGCTATGAATCCCCGTGGCATTCAACGAAGTCAAGTACTGATAGATCAGCAGGACACTGAATTGTTGAACCCGAGCGGACAGCCGAGCTTTGACCAGTTGCTTTGTAATGAAGGACTTCATCCATGCAAATGGAGAACAGCTGACCGTCACAAAAGCTTCTCATTCACACCGCATATCCAAACTGTTGGATCCCAGTCCTTGAATGGCCGATTCTCTGGGCAGCTAAGGAGCGTGGGACCATCCTCAACCTCATCTGCTTGTATTGTGGGTCGAAGCGCTGTTTTTTGCTCTGCTTTCCTTTTTGCTGTGCGTTCGCTCGGTGCTTCATGTGTGCTTTTGTTCTGCTTTCGTTTTCTGGGCAGGACACCTTTGCGAATGCAAGTCAATCAAGAACCTCAGGTTCCACGCAAGCCGGCTTTTTTTTGCTGTGTGTTCACGGGGACTCTATGTGCTAGGAGGCCGGAAACTCTCAGGGTCACAAAGCGACGGCTGATGGCGACCCTGACCCGTCTGATCCGTCTAATTGTTGACACTTTTGACAGACAGAAAGATCATGCGCAGGTTCCAAAACAAATGACAGTCAGCAGAGGATGGGCCGCTCAACCCAGCCGATCCGTGATGATCCGTGTGACTGTTGACATGTTTGACACGAAGGGACCTAATATCAGCGTTGGAAAGCCACGACAATCACCAGGACAGCGACACTGACCCGGTTGATCCCTGTCCTTGCAATTGCTAACACCTCTAACACGTAACGACAAAATCAGGGTCCAAAAACAATGACCGTCACGAATCGCTCACTGGCGCTCCGTCCCACGGGAGACCCGAACGCACAGAAAAGAAAAAAAAAAGTTCCACACACGCCGCGTTCTTTTCTTTGCTGTGCGTTCAAATGCCCCGGAATCATCATCACTTTCACTCACTTGCACTCCTGGCCGGGGGAGGACACGACCGCATACAAGTAGCCAAAAAAAATTGGCTGGGCTCACCACGGCATCACACAATCGGCGTGGGCGAATCCAGAGCAAAGACGACACAAATCCCCACAGGCCGCGCTTCGTATTCTGCGCGTTCGCGTGGCATTTGTGCTGGGGCTCATCACGTCATGGCATAAGCCCCGTGTGTGGATGCAGAACACAAAACAGATTCCCTGAACTGCCATGACGACGGGTGCTTGGACTTTCGGAATTGCTCTCGCGTCTTCATTCAAGATTTAGGGTGAGGGAAGCTTTTGTTGTGAGTGCCGGTTGGCACGAGACCGCGAGAAGCTAGCAGGAAACATCCTTCAACAGCTGCTGTCGCCTCGTTGCCCGAAGGGTGGCGCTGAAGGACCTCCAGTCGAAAGAGCTTCAGGACTTCTCGATTTAGGTAATCAGACCGTTCGGCTCACCTACCAGGCGTGCACAGCACGTTTTTCTCGCATAAACTGCTTGGCCCGTCTCATGGTTCAACATCGTAGCCAATGGACCAAGCTGGGAACTGCCGAAACGCTATGAGACTGTTGGCGGCATAATGCCTCGCAGGTCGCGAAACCGGAAGACCCGCGAGTAAGGCGCAACGAGGGAGACTCTGTCCAAAAGCAGAGCTACACCCCATGTTTCTCAGGTCTTTTTGCATCGTTCAGAAGATCTCTTCGATCTCTCCGACGAAAACCTGGCCTCCCGCACCGCGGGCAGCCACGCCGGAGGCTGCCGAATAACGCGTTGACAGTTGAAGGAGCCCTGCGTTGTATCTCAAGACATGGCAGGATCAGATATTCGGAGTAGCTTCCAGCAGGAGTGGCCACATTATCTTCTCTGAGTTTGGGCAACGGTACGACTTCCCACAGAATCTAAAAAAGCCATTAGAGGCCTGAAGCTTACATCACAAGATGACAAGAGTCAGCTGAATATACAGACCCAAGCTCAGAGCTTCACAGCACTTGTGGCTGCCAACTACGAGTACCATTCATGATAATTGGCCGCCCCTGAGCATGCTGCTTCCATGTTCCCCCGTGCTAAAGCGACAGAAGCCCTTCAACCTATCGTTTGGTTGTGTGCATCAGGTGTGCCATTATCAGGAAGCGCCAAGAATGGCCCCTGCAATAAAAACATCGCATCGCAGCGACATAAATCTGTACAGTCCGGAAGCTAGCAGCTGCTAGCAAGCAGCCCAGTCTAAGACTAAGACGTCGTTGTTGGCAATTCGGCATGGCAAAACAAGGAAACCTGGGAGGAGAAGCCTGACTTCATTACCAACGCTTCCCACACATCATCCATAACTGTGATCATCCCCTTGCTGACAAAGATGCACTGATCAAACAACGACCCGAAGGGCTTTTTCTGGATGTCAGCGTTTCACAGAACCCATCAGCGCCTGCAAGATATGTTTTTGAGACCGCTCCTTCAAGAAGTCTTCCACTCCCTGCGCCTCTTCCAGAAGCTGCTTGGCAACCTCGGCCTGTCACAGCCGAAACCTACTTGCCTGCTGTGAGTCTGCACCACGGCAGAGGACTTGGCTTTCAGCGGCCTTGTGAGGAAAGTTATGGTGTAGCCCCCGCACCTTCTTCATGTCTGAAGCTTCGCGCTGCCCAGCATCGCGGAAGATGTGGGAGAGGCGGAGCAAGGCCTTCCATGAAGGATTCTGGGTGATCTTCGTTGGGGGAGGGCTTTTGAATCCATTGAAGAAATCTCTTGCCCGAACCTACGCTGGCGAGCTGCGCGCGGCGCACACGAAGCTGCCAGGGCACGCTCACGTCCTTGAGAACCTGATTCATGCAGAGCTTGTGGCGAAGCAGTTTGGAATGAGAGTGAAACATTGATGGATCAGTTTCGGGAAGTCAGGCTTCCAAATATGGATGGATAACATTGACATCCTACCACTGCCAGGGGTCAAATCATGAGTGTTCTGCAAGCACCCTTCCCCATCCACAAGCCTTGCCCGAGACGTTCTTCAGGGTGGAAGTGATGTCCAGGAGGCACACGTCCCAAAGCGTCTGCAGAAACACGGGCAACTGGCCTGCCAGGAAGCCCGGCGCAAGTGTTAGGGTAAACCCCTGCTTCGTTAAGCAAAACCCCCGATTCGTTAACCAAAACCCCTGCTTTTTTTTTGACATGACAAACATGGCTAAGCCATCCTGCTCTACTCGACGCTACCCTCTTGCTGCAAACTATGAACAGTCTGCCTGACGCTACAGCGCCGGCACCTCAATCTGCCGCCATCTACATATGGCTCATGTGTGCGGTGGACTCCTAACACAGCAAACTGATAGCCACCAGAGCAAGGCACCTTCAAACAAGCCTGCCGCCAAGAACTCTTGACTTGGAGCCCGCACCGCACACATTCAGCTTGCCTGCTGCCAAAACCCCTGCTTCACTCACCAAAAGTGATTCGCTCACCAAAAACACCTGCTTCCTCAACCAAAACACCTGCCAGCTCCACCAAGACCAGACCCCACCCCATCACCAGCAGAGCCCGAGTTGCCCGTTAAAATGTGGACCCCAAAACCTTTCAGCTGACCAGACCTCTTTTTGCTTACCCGACCCTTTTTTCCTTCGAAATCTAAACCCCAAACCTCGGCCGACTTTTTCCTTTGAGCACCTGACCTGACCTGATGCGCTATCAAAGTAGTGAGCCTCAGTACAACCATCGAGCTTAATGCCATTCATACCATGCTCATGCATGGGCAGGTTTAGCGAGCACTACAGGGATGGCAAGGTCTCAATAAAACAAGAAATTGCCTGTTTCAAGACAAAGCAAATGTATCGAACACAACAGAAGGAGGGAAAGGTGCAATGCAAGAACCCGGCAAGGTAATGCTTGCAGCGCAGTGATAACTATAGACGGGCCAGGGAGGTTTGACGCAACGACCAGCACGGTTTATGTGCATCATGACTTTGCAAGGGTTGCGAACACTGAGGGGAGCAAAACCTTTACACCCACCAGCATCATGTTATCCGTATTGTGAACTTGCTGGGGTATGGCAGGCGATAGAACAAGTAAGGAGGTTTGACGCGACTGCCACACCCGTACCATCACAATGCAACTGTCGCGAACTGCGAACTGTGAACGCGACAGGCAGAGTACAGCCGGGAAGTTAGACTTGACCACCAGAAACGATGTCCTGGGAGTTCAGGAATCCAAAATTAAACTGCTTAACAAAAGGAGGAGCACAAAGACCTTTGGAAATACAAGACACATCAGCAAGTTAAGTAAAGGCAGGAAGGACAGGAGTGGAAAGTAGGAACAGGAGCAGACCCAGATATGTCATATTTCTGGACAGTAGGGGCATAAAACATGAACGCAAGATCATACCAAAGAGCGGACGCTAGTAACAGTTAAACTTTAACCAACAGAGGAAATATACAGACGGATAGAACATCCGACCTCCCCACAGGAACGACAGCATTACAACTAAACGACAGTCTCAGAATTACAATTAATAGAGCAGTTACAACTAATCAAACATTTAGTAGTATTGGTAATATTGTTGGAAAGGTGCATGCCACTAGTTACACAGCGGTGAATGTAAAGAAGTATTGAGCACACAGTATAAGTTCTTTATTAGAAACAGCGCTCCCTCTTTCAAACCTCGATTCCTGTGAAAGAATCACAGTTGACCTCTCCCCCTCCACCCCCCTCCCCCTC